TGAAACATGTATCTAGTATCTCGTCCATAGTATCAGCGAAACCTCTCTCCAACATCTGATCAGCCTCATCAAGAATGACACACCTAATAGTCACAAATAGTGACCACACCCCTAACCCACCCACACATCTTACTTCAGTTGGCCGAGGTACAGGTTTCCCCTTTGAGCGTGGTCCAGGATACGACCAGGAGTACCAACCAATATATCAATACCTTTCCTTAGGGCAGACTCTAACAGTATAATGACACATATCAATCCAATACATGTGATATACTGTGTACAGGAATTTTTGTGTCACTAATTTATAATTTTTGTGAATTTCATACTTTTGGCCTGTCACAAAAATTAAATCACAAATTCTGCAACTACACTGCTACGTGATGTAGTCTGCAAACTATAATGTATTTGCAATTGTTAGGTATTTATGAAAACCAGAGGGCACCTTTTTTTGAGGGCAGTAAATTTCATGGATTTCATGATTAATTTTTTTGGAGATTCACAAAAATTTTTTCCACATAAATGAAATTATTACGACACAAGATGGCAGACAGCATAAATTTGCGAATATTAAATATGCAAAATACAAATTTGTGAAATCTACAGCCCTCAAAAAAGGCACCCTATGGTAAATAATTTAAGTGACATAAAATTTCCTCATATTATGGTAGCTAACCTTGAGGCCAGTAGGGTACTCCCCCGTATATACAGAACACAGAGAGGGACTGGGAAAGAGACTCAAACTCGGCATTGACCTGATTGGCCAGTTCCCTAGTGGGGGCCATTACTAATACACAAGGAGAGCGTCCTCTTGCAGACACATCAACAGAGCCTTAAGGGAGGGACAGGAAAGAGGGTACATTAATGTCAATATATGTATTTACCTGTTTTTAATAATCGTTCAACTAATGGTAATACAAATGAAAGAGTTTTTCCAGTACCAGTACCTAATGTAGATTGTAGAGAAATTATCAATGATAATAATACAGCTTTACTAATTTCACAGTTTTAACAATAACTACTAATAATACCAGTTGCATAAGCAAAATCACTCATACATGCAATGAAATAGTCAGGTATGGCTGATTAGCAATGAAATACGGAAGTGTCTAGAGCTCCGGTAACCGGACACAGTATGCAGTGCTAGAGCTCCGGTAATAGGGGCGTCGCCCCTATATATATATACTGGGGCTACGCCCCAGTGCAGTATTAATAATACACTGATTTATATTATAGAAACCAAGTATAAATACAACAACCAGCGTTGATAATGCAGCAGGGTCGTGGTGGTGCAGTGGAGAGGCTGGTGTGGATTGCACGGATAGGGTCAGGGGTTCGAATCCGGTCAGGACTACCGAGTAAAACTATGCTGCAGTTTTTGATTTTTTTCTTTTTTTTAAATGTCTTTTTTTGCAATTTTTTTCTTTTTGGCTTTTTTTTGGGTCAAGAAATAGCACCCTCTCGTACATCTTAGCCTCCGGGGTCGTAGGGTTGGGATTGGGGTTTAGTGTTCAGTTTTTAGAGCACCCTCTCGTACATCTTAGCCTCCGGGGTCGTAGGGTTGGGATTGGGGTTTAGTGTTTAGTTTTTAGAGCACCCTCTCGTACATCTTAGCCTCCGGGGTCGTAGGGTTGGGATTGGGGTTTAGTGTTTAGTTTTTAGAGCACCCTCTCGTACATCTTAGCCTCCGGGATCGTAGGGTT